TAATTTGCTGTGTAAATTTTCAAGTTAAGCACAATAAAATACTAACAAATTTTTAACAAGTCAATGTGTTGGGAAGCAACTCTTTTCTATTTCAACCACAGAGTACCATTAAACTTCTCAGAGTAATTAAGGAAAAATACAAAATGGCACCAGAAATTTAATGGCACTATATTGTTGATAGTTGCTCAATGAAAACATCTGTGTATTTTAAACAGAAAAGTGATTTAACAATGAAATATACAACTTAAAACTCTCTCTTAGTATTTAGTATTTCTTAGATTTTTTAGATAACATTAAATTTTCCTTCTTTGCCAGGGAATCAGATACTACACGAGGCAAAGAAAGCAGATTCCTTGTGAAACTTTCATACAACAAATTCAGTATTCGGCCCCCTCTGCTCTATCTGTTCAAGGAAGAAATGGCTGCTTTCATGGTTTTCACCCAGTGTATAGACGGGCACAAAATGACAACTCCAAGCTATGCTGATGAGGCTGGTCTCCTTGGGGTAAGTCCTTTTGGAGAAGGGTAATAGAAATAACTCTGGACCCTCAAATGCAGGCTGCAGAACAGAGTTGTGCCTCAGCAACCAGGAGTGCAGCTGTGGATGCACTGAGGCCACACCAGTCTAAACACAACAACTGAGGAAGGAGAACTACAGGAGTATCATTTTTTGGAAAGCAATAGGTGCTTAAAGTTTCAAATTCACCTCATCGCAAACTCAAAAGGTACTAAATAATTGATCACCCTCTAACCACACTGTCTGCTGCTCTTCCAAGTCCATTGTGTGAGTAAGCATATTTCATACAAATATATTAACATTTGGTATATTCACTTTTAAGTTCTTAAAGGACGTCTTAATATGAATGTTTCTGCAGCTTCTCCTCCCATCCATGAACACAGTTGATTCCTTGGAGCTTCACAAATGGGTGGTAGTCTGTCTCAAAGCTTTGATAACAGAAGTGCTATAATTGGTTAGTTTACATTTTTAAAGAGCACGCTTTTGTTTTCTGCTAATGGAATTAAAGGCCCCACTACCCTTATGGTTCCTTGTTCTTAGGATTTACAAATCCTTTTAAAAATAAAAGCCCACCATCTGGTTTGACCAAATGCCAGTCCATCTGGTCTCCCCTATCACACTGTCTTGGTAGATTTCAGCTGAGCCCTTAGGCACTAGCCCCTCCTTATCCACCTGCTTCTTTCTCTAGCTCATCAGCCTTATGGACTTAGCCTCCCAAAGATATTTTCCACTGGCCTCTACCCTCCCTGTTCCTCCTCACACTGTCCTGCACCTGCTATTTAGAGAGCTTCCAGAGCTGCCCTTTGCTCTTCCTTAGACAAGAACTCAGATTAAGGCTTACTCAGCTCCACGTGAGCAAGGCAGGAGTGGGAAAAGAGAATCCTGATAAATAAACAGAGTGGGATTTTTTTGGCTCTCTCCTGGCCATCATCATAGTGAATTATGTCCTCCTGTTTTCTCACAACAGGCTTAGTGATTTATTCAATAGGAAAGACTGAAGTAGGTGCAATGAAGAGTGAGACTCTCGGAGAGCAACTGTACCTGCTGTCTCTGACCGGAGTGATCCATGAACTCCCCTGCCAGCCCTCAAAAACTAAATGTAAAACTGAATCTTTGTTTCCTTCACATTTCTTTTTAGTCTATTAATTCTCTCTTGATCATTCTGGAAATAATTGCATTTTCATATTCCATTTTTTATATAACCCTCACAAGGGAAAGATACACATTTTACTGTTCCTGATATACTTCTTTCCAAAGTTCGTATTGCCAAGTTTCCAGATTTTGCTATTCCTTGTTTTTACAGGAGCTTCCCATTCTTCCCAGTTCTTTTTCTGAATTTTTCAGTCTCAGAGCTGGGATGCTGATTTGGATGACATCAGTCCCTACCACAATTCCTCTCCCTGCATGTGACACCACAATGTGTAATCCACTACTGTCAAGAAAGACTAAGTGACTTACATTGGTAAGCAAAGTTCACTCTCATTAATTAAGCCTACACACACATATATTTCTCCCAGCTACTGGGGTAGTCTATACATTCACAATCAGGACCAGAGTGACATTCACAATCAGGACCAGAGTGACTGTCTGATAATAATGTGGAGACCAGTAAGCAGAAGGACCACAGCATGTGGCACAGCACATGGTCAGTTACTTAGGCTCTCATCTTGCAGACATCCCTGACTCTATCCATCTAACCCATCAATAAATTCTTAGGCTCGACCTTTACAACATATCCCAGATTCAAACACTTCTCCTCACTTCCATAGCTAACACCCTGGCTCAAACTACCACCAGTTTTGGCCTAAATGAATGCAGTTGCCAGCTAACCAGTCTCCCTGCTTGTGCTCAGCACCTAAGGTGGTCCTGGTTGCTGTCACATCATGTCACTGCTCAGGTCAAAAACCCTCCAATGGCTCCCATCTTACTCTGAGACAAGACCAAGATCTTTACTATCTCACAAGGCCCCAAATGATCTGCCCCAGGATCTCTCTGACCACATCTCCTACATCCTCTCCTGGCTTCCTTGCTGCTCCTCTTTCAGACATCCTCCTACTTCAAAATCTTCATACTCCCAGCTTCCTCTGCCTGGAAGGCTCTTCCCACACATATCTCAATGGCTCACTTCCTCTATTCCTTCAATTGTCAGGCCTTCCCTAACCACCCTATTTAAAATACAAAAAAAACCCCACACCATCCTTTTCCATGCTTAATTTTTTTCCCACAGCCTTCTAATATACTGTATAATTAATTTAGTTATTGTGTTAATTGTCCACTAGAACAGCCTTCCAAGACAGCAGGACTTTTGTCTCTTTTGTTCACTACTCCTTAAAGTTTGAAACAGTACTTGGCACCCAGCAAGTATGCAATGACTTCATGCTGTGAGAGAATGCAGGATCTAATGGCATTCCCTAAACAGACACGAAACAATCTTCCCAAGTACTCCTCCAGATATGTCTCTGCGAAGGTACCACCTGGCCTATGCAAGTGCTTTCATTTCTGTCTGTGCCTTCATTTCTAGAATTTAGAAGTATGAAAAATGCTTTAGGATAGCTGGGATTATCCTAAAAATCTAAAATAAGAATGTAAAAGAAACATAGTTTTAAGATTTTAAAGCTGAGATTTTGAAAGGGTAAACAGTATAAAAATGCCAAAAAAAAAAAAAAAGATATACAAAAAAAGTATATATAATGTTACAAAGGAAATCTTTAGAAGTGAAATAAAATTAAAGCACCTGTAACCCTCTGGAACTAAGTTGACTGAGGAGAAGGAGAGATAATTATTTGTCCCTGTACCTTTCTTTGGTTCAAATGGAGAATTAATGCTTTACAGAAAAGAATCTAGACTGATGTTGGAATCAAGACCTCTTTAATGTTAAGGCGAGGTCATTTGAGAGCCAGTGTTACTAGATTAAGAGTGTTTCTTTGATGTTTTCCTGGACCCTCTCATTGCTTCCCACCAAAATGCAAAGTCAAGTTCAATTCATTTGCTCTAGAGGATAAAGAGTGTGTATGTGTGTGTGTTTAATTAATGACAGAAGAATAGCTACAGACAAACCTGTCAACATTGTCACCTCCAATTTCTGCAAAGCTTCCCAAGGATTTAAGATCAAAGTCCCAACTTCTTAAGAAGGTTTAACAGTGAGAAATTGTCTTTTGAAGGGTAACTCATAAAAAATAGAAATACAAATGATCAGAATGACTTTTGACATGGTTTTCTCCTTATCACAAGGCACAAGAAAAGTTTTTAAATATTTCTTGATGTGGAGTAATTATTTACTGCAGCCTAAAATTACTAGGGGAAAAAAAAAATCCACCATAATGTTTAATTGGTTGCTGATATTTAAACAGGTAATAGTTATTTCCAGAGGGGATGGCTGTA